AAACACGTGATACTTGGTGCGTGTGACCATTTAACAAAATGCAAATGAAAACTTTGTGTGCAAAGAAGCAGGCGTGTGTTTAGAAGATCTGAAGAAGGTTCTTCTCTGCTGAGCCGAGAGGAACTCGTACATTTGAGAAGGTGTGTGTTTGTGTGTGTGTGTGTTTGTGTTTGTGTGTGTGCGCAGATGGAATGAGGCTCATTAAGCAGCAGGTACGTACCAGCTCTATCTCGTTGTCATCTATCCCACTCAGGTCCAGCTCCCCGCTGTCAGCGTCGCCATCTGTCACGGAGACAAAAATCAGAGCGGACACACTCAGGAAATTTGCTGTGATGCACATTTTTCACGGCAGCTTCCACGTCCCAGAGGACCGAAACAGGAAACAGCTGCTGGCCGACAGACCAACAACCTTCCGCATCCCGCTCGCATCTCGTCCTCGTGCAGCATCTTCCATCGGAGGTTAATCAGCAAACAAAATGCACTGCGACTCGCTGATAACACGTTAATAGGCTTAACTCACGCTCCAGTGGATCTACCTTTACACACTTTCTTTTCAATTACGATATGCTTCCTAGATTGCGGCCCGGCTTTATTTTGAAACAGAAATGCTGAAACGACAATTTGCATTTTACACACTGCGACGCTGGCGAGGCCCCGTGTTACATTCTCTCGCCTTCACCTGCGTCTTTCTGCGATGGAGCTGATTGCAGCAGAGAAACAGGAGACGTTTTTACACACCGATAAAAAGAACGACACTTTTAAACTTCCCCAGGAGAGCGCACGGTTCAATTATGGAAGAGAAAGGCTCAAAGACAAACTGACTTGACTTTGATAAAGGAAACAAAACATGCTAAGTCTTCAACAGGAATCTGACAGTGGGGGAAAACCATCTATAGAAATTCAGCAGCGTTCACTCCACAGATCCTCTGCCTTGATTAGCTGCTGGGGAACAAAGTGCGACTCCTCTCTGGCTGCAGACAAACATCTGACAGTCAATCAAAGCGGCAAAGATGGAGGACGAGTTTCTAAAGCGGCAGCAGGTTTATACGAGTCGTTTAACTTCTGTCGGCTTTCCGCCTTTGACGTGTTCACAGGGAAACCTCCCTCCTCGAGTTCAAACTCCCAACGGGGCGGCGGCTTCAAAGCTGCGCCACCCGAGTCCACAGGCAGCTCTCCCGCTTCATTACGGAGAGACAGGTGCACGGAGAGGGAGGGAACAGGGAGGAGAGGAGGGGGAACACGCCCATCCTCCCGCAGTGAAGGCTGCACGGTCGAGGTGAGATAATCTAGTCAGTCATTCGAGTTCATCTTCCTTAAAAAGTCAAATCTGCTGCAGAGGGAAGAGACAGGTCAGCCACTATCTGCCGGGCCCAGCCCTCTAAGAACTTCCTCTCCGTGAAGTGCGAGGGCGAGATAAGACGGAGACGAGCCCTGGGAGAGATCGGCAGCGCCGGGAGGCAGAGAGGCAGCGAGACTAAGAGCTGATAACACCGGTCCAACCCCGGGGAGACGAGAGGGGGAGGGAGCAATTACCGAGATCTTATTCAGCCGCGGCTTTGATATATCTACACTCGCTAATTTGATCAAACCCATAAAATCGCTCTTGGTGAGCGAGCAGAGGAATCTGCAGAATTTAGGTTCAGAGTTTAGATACGAGATTTTTATTTCACCTATTTTTTGTCCTTTTAAAGATGAAACAGAGACTGGAAGCCCCGAGAGGAAGAGGAGGAGGCGAAGGTCATGTGGTGGGATGTAATAAAGTACATTTACTTACACGTACTACCTGTACTTCCACCTGTATTTCACTTCACTGCACTAACGGCAAATATTTGTACTTTCTGCTCCACTACCGAACCTTTTCACAGGAAACACGACGAATCGATTTAATCACGTTAACTGATCATGAAAATGACCATTAGCTTCAGTTTTAGTTTATTAAGACGCTAACAGCCACGTAACGCCGATGATGAACCTGAACGACCTTCATCGCATGTGACGCCCAACAAATCTGGTTCATCGTCCCATAATGCACCACCACGACAGGCCACATTTATCTCAGTTGCACCGCGGCTCGTTTTGTGCAGCTTCTTTATAAAGCGGCGCCTTCGCTCGTCACGTCTTGTTCGCTCGTCACGTCTTGTTCGCTCCCTCATCGGGCGTCGCACTGAGGCAGCGGAGCAGAGACGATGCCAAGTTCAATTTCTTCTGGCGAACAGAACACCGACTGAAAATAAATTGAGTAAGAGACGGTGAAAGGCGGCGTAACACCAGTCGGGAGGAATATACCTCCGAGCTGTAAACTCCATCTCCCTGTTGTCTCCTGGTCGTAACGGACAGGTAATCTGACGCCTCCTTTACCCATAATACCTCAGAAATACCCTCTCGTCTGCCACGCTATGCTGCGTCCCGGGTGGCGGCGGGCCCGTCTGATGTGGTCGGGAGAAGAAGTTGCTTCACTGCAGAGGCTCTCTAATACCAAAGAAGAAGAACACAAAGAAGCTGAGAAGATGTGCCCTGCAGGGACAACAGGTGAACCGGTGAAGGAGACGGCCTTTTGAAGCCGGCGAGGGCGGAGAGATCAAGAGATTTAAAAGAGCGCAGAGGAGGGAGGACGGAGAGCTGGTGGGTGACGGAATAAACCAAGCGAAGTAAGAGAATAACGTCTACAAATCACAGTTAAACACCAAAACCATGAATAAGTAGTGTGAATGAATCTCTGAACACTTTCTAACTGTGGCTCTGAGCCTCAGGTCACTGTTTCCTACTGAGGTTTCATTGTTTGATTCCTTCAAAGCATTAATATCTGAAAAGAGGAAGAAACACTCGTTTTCAAATAACTCAAGCAAAAGAAGCAACAAAACGTTTGTCAGGGATTATTTTCACTTGTTTACTTGAAACGTGTTTGGGTTTTTTCTTAATCTTATCAAATGTTAATCTCAGCTTTCGACATTTAGAAGTGATAAGTTAAAACTCAAGGATTCAGCTCCAAGTCAAACTGCAGTTTCAGTTTCAGGTCGGTTTCGGTCATGATTACTGGGTTCGGACACAAAAAGAACCAAATGTCTGTCGGGTTCGTCGGTTTTTATCTCTGGTTCGCAAGAAAACTGACAAAACTCAGATCGGTTCTGTGTTTCCGTCTTTTCGAGCGACTTCAGGGTAAATTCCTCGACATAGTAGAGGTCTGGGTCTGGACTTTCTCCGGAGTGTGTCTTTCACACATGAACGACGCAGCAGGAGATTCTCCACTGAAGTTTGAAAGCAGCTAATTTAGAGACTTTTAGTTAATTAACAATAGAACCATCTATGAAGAAAACAGGTTTTGGCCTTTTTAATGGGATTTGGTGACAAATAGAATATCGGCCTCATCCTTCAAGAGACGGAGAGAGAGAAGAAGAAAAAACGTGTAAATGATCGAAGAAGCTGCTGAAGACATTCAGAGGGAACACGAGCAGCACAGGGGGGGAGGAAATAATGAGAAAAGAAGGCAGAGAAAGGAGAGAGAGGCTGAGCAGGAAAGATTAAGAGAGAAAGAATGAGGGAGGCAGGAGATTGAGAGACACAGGCTGATGGAGAGAAGCAGCAGGAGGGACGACAGGGAGGAATGAGCCGGCAGCAGCTGAGAGACAAGACAAAGAGAGAGGCAGAGAGAAGAGACAGAGAGAGGGACGAAGACAGTAGGTTAAGACACAGACAAAAAAGAAAGGAAGACAGAAAAGAGAGGGGGAAGAGTTGAGACAGATGGGAGAGGGAGGGAGGGAGAGAGGGAGAAAGGGGTGTTCACTGATCTCCTTCTAATCCTGAGCCCTGTTTCGCTCGGGCCTGATCTGAGGAGAGCGACGGTGACAGAACAGACGAGCAGAGAGGAGAGCAGGAATGAAAAGGAGAGAAGTCACACAAGCGTGAGTCTGCTGACTCCTCCGCACCGTCAGTCCTCCACCCCCCCCCTCCCCCCTCCCAAAAAAACAAAGAGTGTGTGTGTGTGATGTGGAGGATGAATGGGGCTGTGTAGCCTGAGCGCTGAAGGATCACCAATCATCCTCACTTCAAACGGAGCTCACATTATCCCGACTCTCAGCTCTTGATGTCAGCAACAATCCTGATCCTCTCCCGACACACAAAACCCACCGAGCGGCTCAGAGCCCGGCCGCGGGGCCACGGGGCCGCGGGGCCGCGGGGCCGCAGGTAAAGGTGGATGTTTGAATCTGTCAGGGGTCTGGATTTATAATTTAAAAAAATAAATAAGAGGCTTCTCAAGGTAAATGCTGAGGAAGAGACTAAAATAACCTGGAGGTTGTCGTCATGATGCTATTTACTGCGTCGTACGATTAGAGAGAGGACGATTATAAAAATAAATACTAAATAAATAAAATAACTCCTTTTTTTGACAACTATTGTTTCACCACTGCAGCTTTATTTTGGTATGTGTGTGTGTGTGTGTGTGTGTGTGTGACCCACTTAACAACTACAACAATAGCAGGTTTAGTTCCGTTATTCTTCAAGTAGCCGAAGCTCTGTTTGCTCGGATGCTAAAACCTGCAGCTTCCACAATCGGGGGGAGAGTGAGGAATGTTTTACCTGCAGTGTTTATATTTGACTGATCCAGGATTTGAATCCTCCGTCAGTCGACTGCCTCCAAATCAAAAGGAGAGAAGAGCGTCCCTCCCTGCAGTGGTATGAGGTAATAAGGCTCGGTGCCAGCTCTGCCCCGGAGACATAACCAGCCAGTCGAGGCAATAAATAGAGTGAGAGATTCTCGCTGACACGGGCGGCCCGGGCGAGCCCATTAAAACGTGACCTCGCCGACCTTGGAGGAACGCAGAGCGAGCATACGCCCACTCGACCACCTGCTCCTCCTCCTCAGGACACAGAGTAGGAGCGAGGAGGTTTGTAGACGAGGGAGCTGGTGGACAGAGTCCTGGAGGCACAAGGGTTCACTCACAAAACGTGTGAACAGTTGGACAAACTTCACTTAAACACAAGTCCAGGGTTTTCTACAATTGTCCTACTGGCAACAAATCCCATTTTTAAAAAGTCTAAATTAATTTATCCGACCACTCGTGAACTTAACGAATCCTCAGAGGTGTTGGTAGATTCCAGAAAGTGTCCGGACGGAGTTTTCTGGACATTTTCGGAGTAAATGTCTGAAAATCTTTGGTTTGTTCATTTGACACTTTCACCAATTACACAGGGAATAATTCATGGATCTTGACTTTGAGTAATCTGCGGCAGCTTGATTAAAGTGAAGGGACTGTTGGGGGTCTTGCTGCAGGTATGAGCTCCGC